CACAAATGATCTGTGATAATTACAAAGTCAAGTTTGCCACCTGGTTTGAAATTTATCTAGTTCACATTGTTAGTCACACTTTGTACATCTGTGTACAGACATTCAAGGCTAGATTTTATTGGTTTTCTTGGATTTCTGTCTCTTGTGAACATCTGAGTATCTCTACTATTCTTCTTTAAAAGCCACAACTACTCTAAGTTATCTAGATAGTTTCTCTTGTTAACCTTACTTTTCAGCTTAAAATCCTTTAGATTTGCAAGACTACTGGCAAATACAACAATACTATCCCTTGTTAGATGCAACCCATCTCTAGCCAAGAGAATATCATTCCTATATTTGAAACCCTTGTTCAGAAATTCAAATCCTCTTCTTAGATACTATCTAACCAGCTGTTCACTTCCCAAATCTGCTGCTCCCTTCTGCAGCCCTTGATCAGCAACAGTGACATCAAAACTACATCTTTCACTAGCCCCATAAAGTCTGTTCCTCTCCCAAGACTTCATAATCTTTAGCAATGTTTTCTGGTCATTCTGGAAGCATCATTTGTGTCCAAATAAATCACTAGACGTGGACAGTGGTTATGCAGAGCAGCAAGCCTTAGGAGCTTTTCCCTGGGTGGTTCCGGATCCATCCCTTGGAGGGAGACATCACACTTCTCTATTTTTAATCAGGCTGACAAACAGCTGCCATTACTTGCCTTGTCTTCCTCTGACCCTTACTGGACGATTTCTCACCTGACAGGTGGATCCACATCATTATTCCTTGGAGCACAATGCAGTTCCTTCCTCCTCAGAAGCTTCAGCTCCCTCCTCCCTGGGAGAAGAAGCCTCTTTTCTGGTGCTTAGCACCCAACAGTCTCTTCCCTTCTCATTTGTCCCAATCTTCGACCCTCCAACCTCCTGACACAAGTCAGAAATCCTTCCCTTCCGCTTCTTCAAGATCCCTTTTCTTGTTTTCCCACTGATATCACAGGATCCGAAGATTCTGTGACTTTGTGTCCTTTTTTCCATTTTTAAAGAAACACTTCATTTTCTCTGGTGATCTGGAGAGATGGGGCATTCTTCAAGCCTCCTTAGCTTCTCTTCTAAGAGGAAGACAAGCCTGTACAGTTTGATTATACCTTCTCCCACTCAAGCTGGAAGTAAAATCAGGGAACAAGGCTGCTTATATAAAAGCATACCAGCACAGGGCAAGCTTCAGAGATATGCCCCCTTTTCCTACCCCTTGAATGTAGTTCTGGATGGACAACAAGCACAGAATCCCATACTCAGCCAAAAATAAAAAGAGAAAGGTGTAGGCAGCCAAGTGTACAGGACGAAATTCAGTTGGCTACATACTCAAGGGAAGAACAGAGAAGAAGGCTGTTTGTTTCATGACCACAAACCTACATACCTTCCAAAATGGAGAAATCCCACTTTCACATTTTTGATTTAATAGAAAACTGACAGGATTAAGATTCTAATAAAAAGCTTCATTTTTCTTAATGTCTAGTTCTTGAGTTGTTTTCCATCCCACATGGGAGAGTCATGTGGAGAATTAAGTTTATACTGGGAGCCAGATTTCAAAACATTTTCACCTTATTCTCTTACATCCACTCTCTCTTGCTTCCTAATTTTAGCACCCTTTCTCTTCTTCCCTAACTCTGATTCCCCAAACCATTGTCCACAGAACCCTAGTTCTACATAAGGAAAATATGCGTTGCATGAGAAAAGTTGAATGCTATCAGCATTTCTGCTCCAAAATATCAAACATGCAACTAAACAAGTATCAAAAATAACATGTAGGAATTTTTGAGTAAGTAAACAAGCTTTGTTTCCTCTATTTAGTTCCAAAATGTCTCCAATTATTCCTTCTCCTAGGGTCATTCCATACTCCTAGATTCCCATTTATAGATCGTCAATATATTTCAAGTCCAGATCAAATTAATCTGGGAAACACTTCTCTATGCTTATCCTGGGATTCTTGGTACAATCAAAAAAGGTATAGAATTTGGAAAGAGAAGCTGTGGTTACGAATTCTAGATCTGATACTTAACACCTGTGCGATGATAGCCATTTTGGTTCTCCTTTCTAAGCTCCATTTTCCTCAACTTGTAAAAAAAAAAAGCAGATGGGACTATGTAATTTCCATGATCCCTTCTAATTCTTGAATCCAATTCCTATTTGAAACCCCTCAAATTCTTTTGTCTCTTCCGATCTCTCTACACCATTTCAACATTTCTAACCTCTACTATCTACTCCCCACTTCATTTCCAACACCCTACCAGTATCTTCCTTCCAGGACCTTCAAGCTAACAATGGTGCTCCGTGCCCTTCCCTTACATGTAAATGTTTCTCCTTCTTTCTGTGAATCCCTCTATAATTGAAATCTTTCAATTCTTCTTCATCCTTCTAATCCTCTTAACTCTATGTGACCTACTACCTTCCAGAAATGGTTCATCTTCACTCAATACTTTTTTCTCACAGGTGTGCCCTGTGTACTCACAAGGACTGACCAAATTTTGTTAGAACTATTTTCACTTCCTTTCTCCCTTTAAATTTACTTTTCTGGCCTCATAAAGGAATATTTTTTAAAATCTACTTAAAATTAATTGCCGTTATAAAAATTCAATTCAATTCAATAAACATTTACTAATGTTTACTATATGTCAAGGCATTATGTTACCAAAGACAAAAATAAAACAGTCCCTACCATCAAGCATCTTTACTAGGAGATAAAACAATATAAATATAAATACAAGGTAGTCTGAAAGAGGAGAGAGCACTAAGAACTGTGACATGGGGGGAGGGGGTGAGGAGGAGCCTGCTTCCTGCAGAAGATAGCACCTGAGATGAACCACCAAAAATAAATAAATAAATAAATGAAGATTATGAGTGACAGAGATCAGTAAACAGGACATTCCAGGAGGCATAAGAGACTTGTTTATACAAGCGCATGGAGGTGGAATATAGAATGTCAAATTCAGGAAATAGAAGTATAGTCAAGTTTGGCTGGAATGTAGAATTCTCAAATTCAATTTAATTCAACAAGCATTTATTAAGTGCTCATTATGTGCAAGACACTGTATCAGGCTCTGAGAAGACAAAACAAAAAACAACCCAGTCCCTGCCTTTAAAGTACTTCCTTTCTAGCCTAAAACACAGTCAAAGAGGTAGAACATGGAATGCTGAATTAGGGGAATATTGAATAAGCCAGTTTGGCTGGAAAGTAGATTGTGTGAGGAAGTAATCTGAAATAAGTCTGGAAAGCTCAGCTGGAACCAGACTACAAAGGTCTTCAAATATGAAGTTGAGGATTTTCTGTCTTACACTTGAAAACAAAAGGTAGCCACTGAAGATTCTTGAGAATGGAAATGACACAGTGAGATCTAGGTCTTAGGAAGATTAGTTTGGCAGCTCTGTGGGAACTAGGTTAAGAAAGAAGTTAGAAGCAGGGAGACTGACAGGAGAATATTGCATTGTTCAAGTGAGGGGTGAAGAGTGCCGGAACTAGGGTGGTAGCTGTGAGAGTAGAGAGAAAATAAAGAGAAATACAGATCAAAACAACCCTAAAGTTTCACCACATACACGTCAAATTGGTAAATACAGCAAAAAACAGAATAGTCAATACTAGAGGGAGTTGTATAAAGACAAGCACTCCAATACACTGTTAACAGAGCTGTGAACTGGTGAACTTGGCCAACTACTCTGGAAAACAATTTAGAGTTATGCTTAAAAAGTTACTAAAATGTCCATACTTTCCGACCCAGAGATCCTGTTACTAGGTATATACCCCAAGGAGGTCAAAGAAAAAAGAAAGGTCTATTCACACTAAAATAATCACAATAGCAGTTTTTGTGGTAGCAGAGTACTGGAAACAAATTCAATGATTAAAGAACGGCTAAACAAACTGTGGTACACAATATAATTATTGCACTGTTAAGAAACAATGAATATGAAGGATTAGGAGGATAGGAAGACATACAAACTGATAAGAGTTAAGTCAGTCAGTCAATCAACCATTAAGTGCCTACTATGTGCCAGGCACTGTGCTAAGTGGCGGAGATACAAAGAATAGCAAAAGACAGTCCCAGCTCTTAAGAAGCACCAAGTCTAATGGGGGAGATATCATACAAACTACTACGTACAAACAAAATATACAGAGAAGCCCAACTCAGAAGAAAGTCACCAAAGAGAACTGGGAAGGTCTTCCTGCAGAAGATGAGACTTTAGCTGAGACTCAAAGAAAGCTAGAGAAACTAAGAGGCAAGAGATGATGAGGAAGAACAGTCCAAGAATAGGGCATAGACTCAGGAGACAGAGCGTCATTTGCAAGAAATAACCAAGAAGCCAGAGTAAGACAACAACTTCAGTAGAGTAATCTAATCAGAAGTCAGTTGCAAGGGGTTGAGAAATAAATGGAAGGTGAAAAGGTTGAGGCAATGAGTATAAAATGGCTTATTCTAGGAATCTGACAATATAGGAGAGTTCAAGAGCTTGAGAAGAGTTTTAAAGTAAATGGTTCGCTTTTTTGTTTCTAAAGATGAAGAGACCCAGACATGTTTGACAGCAGTAAGGAAGAAACCAGTAATAATGAGAATGAAGATGATAGAGATGGGCTGACTATGGCAACTGAAACTGGAACTAAGGAGTAGAGACCAGGGGATGAGAAGGGGGGATACTGAGGTGCAGAAACTGAAAGTGGAGAGGGCTCACAACCAATGGACTCATTTTCTCAAGGAGTAACAGGAAATCAGGATGAGATGCTAGCAAGTCTATATCCTGACTCCTCTTCTGTAAAGTTCCTCATGAAAAGTACATGGAACCAAAAGTTCCCAATTTTAAGGCATTTTTGAAATTTAGTTCTCTGTTCCCTTCAATTTAATGGCATTAACTACAAAATGTAAGGACTTAAAGTAAGTTAGCATTATGCAATACTTTAAGGTCTGCAAGGTTATGAGAGTAAAAATACAATATTAAATCAAATGAACATTAAACGAAAAGAGTAATTTCGTGCCATACCTGATGAAACGTGTACTTGAATAGCAGTGTCAAAAACTCTACCACTGGGAACTGAGAGTAGGATTCTATCCTCCTCAAATGGACACTCACAAAGAGACGAAGAAAGTCAGTAAACTTCTCGATGTAGCTATATAAGAAAAAATATTACAAGGTAAAAATCTCGCAGTTTACCTTCAATGGAAATAACTTTAGTAAGATAAATGAAATGCAAGATTAAACAGCTCAAATCCTTTACATTACCAAAACACACTGATTTAACCAAGATATTTTCAGTTAAAAACATAAAAGCCTGCATCAGTTACCTACAGGACACGCAACCCTTCTCTCCATTAACACCTGAAACACAGCAGAAAAGTAACTTTAATGCTTAGGTAACAAGGCCTTCCGATAAGCAACTGCTCTCATATTTCCCCAATGACTTAGTGGCATGACCCATATAAAATAAAATGAAAGGAAATTGAGCTAACAAACTGATAGATAGGTCATATCACTTGTATAGTGCATCTCAAGATAACAGCATTACTCTGATTTCCAGAGGGAAAGACTCATTAGTTAGAAGACACAATTATGAAAGTGTATGTACCAAAAACCTAATCTTCAAAAGGGTTAGCAACCTACGAAAATATTTCTAGTTTTGCAATCCAAAAAGATTTTGTTCTTCTACTCCTGATGACAATTAACTATCCAATGCCCCAATTATCTCCAAGAATTCTTTACACCAGGAATGAAACATTTTAATACTTAGAAAGATGCAGCAACCTGCCACTATATAGAATCATAAAGTATTAGAGCCTGAAAAGGACCTTAGAGGTCATAAAGTCAGGAATCTGAGGCCCAGAGACAAGAAATGACTGACTTGCCCACTAACTGCAGGAATGAGACGAGGGTTCAGATTTCCAGATTTCCCTCACTCTCCAGTTCAGCATTTGTTTCGCTATATGATACTACCCCAACCCCGACTCAAATCCAAAGATTTTCCTATGATTATTTCATAAATAAGCATGTGCCATAACGACCAGGATAACAAAGACCTCTGATTAAAATGCACAGCACATCACTCTCACATTCAGAAACTGTCATTTCAAGCCCCTAAATACCAAAAGGTGATGGAAAATGAGATGGATACATGTTTTTGAAAACATTAATTAAAGATACAAAGAATCTTCTGGCCTAGAATCAGGAAAGCCTACTAGTAAAAGAAATCCTTCATTGCAGTCACTGGGTACCACTTCACTTCACTCAAGTTCCCTCAGTCCACCTGAAATGACCAGAAATCAAACTTCCCCATATTGTCATAGGCCCCTAACCAATTTGATCATAGTTGGCCATTGCTTACTTTGGGGGTCACATTAATTCTAGAAAACATAGATGGAAATGAGGATTTACAATTAAATAATATTAATTATTTCACAAGGATAAAGGTTGAGTAGATCACTGGACCAAATACTTAGGAAGACTAACATTAAAAGTACTTTATGCTTGATTTTGCACCCCTTCCACCAGAATCTCCAGAGGTTTTTTTTTAACAGGTATGGCCCCTACTTTTACATATCAAGTAGAGAGATTTGTCTGAAGGCCCCTGTCCAAATCAATCAAGAATGGACCCTCCTCCACCCTAATCTAGCTTCTTATATATTAAATTTGTATGTGTAAAACGTATCAATTTTCTGTTTCTTGGAAAATACACTCAATTCTCAGTCATGCAAACTAATGGAACACAGAGATTGAATGCATGGACAAATACAATACAAAAACCACTCTCCAGGCCAACTTCTTTATTAAAAAATTAAATAAACTTGATCAAGCAGCAATACTAACTAATCTTCATTCACCTCATTTTCCTTCCCTTGCCCACCTTCTGGTACAGGTGCTAATGAACAGTGAAAGAGTTAAGAAAAAAGAAGTTATAGAGAGAAAGAATAGAAGCAAAGGACCCAGTTAAGCAGCTCCTGAACAACTGAGAATTGACTATCATTTTTTTAGAATTTGTTATAACAGACTCTTAAGAGTCATAAAGCAAGCACACAGTATTTTTCATATCACCTGTCTGTACATGCAGGGCTCGCCTTTCACAGTGCAACTGGAAGCATATAATTGAAATACAAAATCAAAGGAAGCAAAAAAGTTAACTTTAAAGTTCATATACAGATAAACTACTATGATTTTTCACCCAGATCTAAGCTCAGTCTGTGAAAATAGCACTGTCCTCAGAGTAAAACACAAGGCAATTTATTCTTAATGGCAGGTTTCGTAGTAAAAACTCAGAAGACAAAAAGTAATGAACTCAATCAAAGAAAAAAGATATTTTAATTAGAGAATACCATTTCAACTTTCAAATTACAACACGACAGTTACCTTTCATTGACTTGTTGTAAGTAATTAGAACACTGTTACACATTAGAAAGTCTTTTTAATGAAGCTAAAAAAGAATGCTGGAAAAATTGTGTTTTCAAGAAAGCTCTGGTACTCTTAATTGATCCGGTCAGTTGCTATTTAAAACAACATCAAATTAGATGGAAAGAACTTTATTACTGTAACAGGGTAGGAGTTCTTCCATGAGTATACAAAGTCTAATGTTTGGAATGACCTGGTATATTCTTACATCAGTTTTATTTCTCTTAACTTAATAAAATTAAACATATGAAATTAATTAAGAGCCAAATTGTCAAACTAATCTATAAATTACACACTCCCTGCAAGTATATTTACATATCATACAGTTAATAACTTCATAAAATTGCTACTGGTACTGAAAAGGACACAAATTTCTCAACTATATATAATCATCAAAAGTGACCTGGGAAAGTGGTTAAAGTAATAATCATTTGTGCTTCCAGGAAATCTGTAAATGCCTACTAGTTCAATATAATACACCAATTTGGAGGCTTCCAAACACACTCAACATTAATGTTCTTAAAATAAGCATCCAATTTCCCTCTTGCCTTTACACAGCAGTGTAGCACCTTGTTCATGAAAGATGTAAGATACATAACTGACATCCCACTGCAAGGGAAAGAAAGAATTAGACCCTGACTCAAAGTGCTTCCATTTATCCTCAAGTGGATATTTTAGGAGGGGTTGGGGAGGGTTACAGGCAAATAAAGACCAATGGTCTTATTTCTGGGTTCCATTCAAAAGAATGATAAAGAAGCCACAAAGCTTTCCATATAAATGTGTCTATCTTTTGTTGAAAATTCACCAAGTAATATTCATAAAACTAACAGTACTTCTATGCCCTGCAAAATGTCCTAGTTACTTCCTTTTACTTACAAAAAAAATGCTCAAAACTAAAAGGTAACACCAACTGAAAAGGGGCAGATTATAATTCCTGTACCTCCACGTGCCTCTTCTGATGTTCCTGGCTATGAATGAGGGGCAGTTTCAGTTCTCGAACCACCTTATACCTGTAGTCAAATAAGTAAGGGAAAAAGGAAGAGGAGGAAAGAAGGAGGGGGAGGAATATGGGAAATACAACAAAACCTAGAACCACCACAAACACTTTTCAAACTCAATCCCTTTCCCCTTAGGCCACCCCAGCCCTTCGAGCTACAGTCAGGCCTGTACTTACCATCACACACCTACCTTTCCGCTCTTCTTTTGGAGCTCCAAATTCTGAAATCAAAGAGGATTAAAGACGCTATGCACAAGAGCAATGAACCATAATAACCCTTTCTGAGCACATATTTCTTACTCTGCTATGGTTTCTTTCTCTTACCTTTCATCTAGTTCTTCTAGTCTGCTCTTCACTGTGTGAGCATTATTATCCTTGGTGATTTTCTGCAGGAGGTAAAAAGTCTGCTGGAACATTCGTAGTAAATACTCTTCAAATTCCATAGGCACACAGTTCTTGGACATGAGTTCATTGATGCAAGACATGGCCAGAACTCCAAGCCTGCCACGTTCCTGACCAAGGACACAGTTCTGATTGCTGCCATTGACTGACGCCATCTTTCTGGCCCGAATGTCACAGCCAAATCGAGCAAAGTGGAATATCGTGGTAAGGAGGGATGGGGTGATGCTGGTAGACAGAGGAATCCAGCTGAAGAGATGGGCCAGGCACTCCAAAGCCAGGGAACAGATATACTCACTCTCTGAATCAAGGATAGGGATTGGCTGGTTTAACAGCTTGGCTGCACTAGGACTCTGCAACAGGTTACTTAATAGATCACCTGAAAATATAGGGG